TAAATACACTCCCTCAAGATAATAGTAAAAAATTTTAAAAAATATACATTTATAGAGTATGTGCATTTATAGAAAAATATGTATAGTGTTATTATAAGCTAGAACCTAACTATACTATACATTTAAAGAGATTTTATATAAAGAATATATTTATGAAGAATATAGTTAGATAGGTTTCTCTGCAACAAGAAATAAAAAAAACCTTCAAAAAACAAAAATTTATATTTATCCAATTAAACACAAGCTATGCACAAAGCACTAAATCTGTAATAAAATATAAAAATCCCTAATGAGTTTTTATTCATATTTTTAGCCTGCCATCTTTAATTTTCATATCTGCAAATTGTTTAGTAAGCAATGAATGGCTAAAATAAAAAGAATTAAAAAAATGATTAATTTTTCTACAATAGCAATTAGTTTTTTTAATTTGTCTAATTTAACCAAATAAGCAGCAATAAGATTAATAGCATAAGCAGTACATCATATGTTCCAAATATGTGAATACATTTCTTGTATTTTCTGATATGCAAAATTACAATTTGGAGCTGTATTTATTACTACAGCAGCAAACTTATCTGATCTAAGCTTTTTAACAATATTTAATATTTCATTTGCTAAGAATTCACCTGTTTGAGAATATGATGAATACTTTTCAAGCCAATTAAGTACTCTTTTTAGGTGTCTATTATAATAATATAATTATAAATTAATTCTATTTTTAATATTATTCAGCTGTCTAAAGCTTTTATCAAATAAATTTAAAATTAATAAATATAATTTAATAATACATATACAAAATAATATGCATCTGCATGCAACTTTAATCATCTGTGAATATGCACTATATATTAACTATAAAAATAATAAATATAATACTAATTTTAGAGTTTATTTTACTATATATATATATTACAAAATTTACTACATACATATATAATAAATTATTCATACATATAAAAAATAATATGCAAGTTGTATAATATAATCTCATAACACATAAGGTAAATTTTTAATTTAAAAAAAAATTCTAGTACTGTATAGTGTGAACTAAAGGACTTCTTTTTATAGTACCTCTTACAATGTTTAGAGGCCTAAAATATATATTAAATTAATAGTTATAATTGAAAGGTTTTTTCTCAGTAACACTTATATAGTGCAACCTATATCTTGTACACTAACTACAATATTCCTCTGACTATAATACCTGGGTATTTTAGTCTACACTATATGATAGTTAATGAATTATCAAAAAAATAAAATAAAATAAAATAAAATAAAAATATTACTAAATTCTATATTTAAAATTTGCTCTTAATTGAGATCATTTTGCATTTTACACAAAATCATGTGATTTAAATACTAGTTTACATTATACAAGATATATTTCTATACTAATTTAAAGAAATTTTTTTAAAAAATAATATTTATGCTTGTTATTTTGAATATATACTTATCTAGAGTTAAATGATCAGCTTTATCAATTTCTTTGACAATTGCATAATTTATCTGTACTATTTTTTCGTTTAGTAATCAACCTAATAAAGTTGGTCTTGGTGACAGATTGTATGCAGGTAAAAACTTTTTAAACATATCTTTAATAAATGAGTTTTCTATAACATCAAAAGAAATTTCTGCTATTACTCAAGCTTTAATTGTTTTTAATCAAACTGATTAACTGTAGCTTTTAGTAATAGATGATCAAATGAAAAATGAGGTGTTATTGATAATTGTGTTGATAGAGGCAAGATATTCTTTTTTCATATATAATTAGAATTTCTTTCTGCTACTTTTTTCTGCCAATATTGTGATATATGTTTAGGACAATTAGAACATTTATTTACTAAATGCACTTCTAATTTTGCTGGTTTTCCTCTTGTCCAAAATTTTTTAAAAACACAATAGTAACAAGTAGCTTCATAATGCCTGTGTTTTTTTTCTGACCCTTTAATATAATAACTTTATATCTCAGAAAACTGTTTAGACTTTTTATTTTTAGATGAAAATTGTAAATTAGAATTATTTGTTATATACTCTTTTTTCAATTCTGAACTATCTTTAGTTTCTTTCTGCAAATTTATATTTCTTTTTCATAAATTGGTTTTATTTGTCTTCATAGCTAAAAATTTAATACTATAATATCACTATTGACAGATACATAAACATACATCTAGATATAAATTATATATACAGGCAGATCTCTTAAACTGTTGGTTTTTATGTGCAAATTTGTCTGCAAAATATTTAAGAATATGTTTAAGAAATACTATATTAATATAATGTTTGCAAAATATTTAAAGAATATGTTTAAGGAATACTATCATTATATTAATACAATTTTTAATAAATCTGTTGAAGATATACTATATTAATACAATAAAAATTGGTAAGTTTAAACCTGTAAATAAAAATTGTAAATTTTATTATATTTAAACTTAATTTTAAAGAAATTGTAATATTTTAAATTTAAAGTAAATGCATTCAGGTTCTAATAATATTAATAACAATATAATATTTTTGTAATATTTATTAAGCTAAGAGACCTTAGAGCCTTACTTGGAAATTTTTGCAATATCTGGCTTCTGTCTCTATAATTATGATAAATTTTTGATCATTCCTGTTAAGATTAATAATATGATACATAAGTATTTATATAAAAGCAAATTGATTAATAAACTGATTGATAGTTCAATATACTTCAAATACAAAAATGTAAAAAAATTTATATATCTGAACAAAAAGCCACAAGAAATGATACTAAAAGAAGAAGGTTAGTTTTGATAATGCCTAAAGAACAATTAAGTCATCAAAATAATGAATCAACATCTTTATAACTTTATGTATTACTTATATTTGTTTGTATGTATATTAATATAAACATATAGAGATATGGTGACCTAGTGAAGTGGTCAGGTTGTTAACCTCCCAAGTGGTAGGTTGGGTGTTCAAATCCCATCGATAGTAAAAATTTGGATAATCATCTATGTAATATTTGTATTATGACAACTGTTACTAACGATTGGGTTAGGATACCTGTAATGGCAGTTACACCAGCATGACTGGCAGGTTATAGAGCATCTGTGTAAGTATGGCATTATATGGATAAATGCAAACTAACAAATCGGGTAGTGCAAACACTAGATAAGTCCTTGTGGCCATGTAAATCCATTAAAATTAGATAACAAGAAGTCTATTTGGAAAGATTCGAGTAGAGAGGTAGCTGGAATTTTAATGGCCTTACTATAAAGGTTAGCCTGAAAAAATGGATACCAAGGTCATAGTACCTGGTTATAGTAGTCGGATAGGCAAGAACCTTTGGATTGGAAGGCTTGGAGGTACCACCAACCAGGCTGCTAGAATGAACTAGAGGAAAAGGATATTGGACTGACCCGATATACCAATGGACTGGTCATAGTCCTACATGGGCTATCTGGATT